GTAAACTTTGCTCTCACTGATATGTGACCATAACCCACACATATTTTTCTGCCAATAAACATTTTACTCCAATTGCAAAGCAGATGTTTTTAGGTCAGGACAGATTTTGTATTGCTCACTGTTTAGTATCCACTGCTGTACCTTTTGACAAAGCTTTAAGTGAAATATATACCACAAGGTTTGACAGTTGTATGATGATTTTTTTTGTAGGTGCATTTGAAAAAAACATGATACAGAGAAGCCTTGACTGCAGCTACACTCCAAACATAATTAACATAAACTGTGCTGTCCTTGTCTACAATCGTGGTTCCTATCATTGCACTAAAGATTTAACATCAGTTCATTGTAAATCTGCAGATAGTGTAACAATACAGAAGTCTGCAGTCTGTGGGTATATGTGAGATTAAAGCAATACAACAGTTGTTTGACATGATTTTTAGTGACTGGATAGTATTTTTGATTTTTATTTTGATGCTCATAAGACAGTCTCCAAATCTTAAATGGTTATGTTGAATTCATATTTTACTGATTTTAAATTCAATTGAAACGCTGAACAAAAATGAGACCCTAAAACCAGATGTTTGCAGTTAAAAGTTCTGTAACGTGTTAAGAACTTTTGATATATATATATATGGATTAATTTGTTATTCTTTACCAAACATCTAGATAAATAATTTACACATCCCTTCTTTCTCTTTCACTAAGACATGCTTCATTATCAGCAAGATGTTGACTTTAAGAAGGAAGTAAAAGAAAGACAAAGTAAAGCACAGCGCACAAAAGCAATAACTTTATCCTACTAATAAATAATATGCTGTGGCAGCTGTTTCTATGGGAGAACCTATAGCATCTTTAATGTTGTGTGTACTTGAAAGACTTTTTTTTTCTCCACAGAGATGTTACACCACATATTTTTGCTTTTAGTGTGTGTCAGTGAAACATGTATTCTTAAGCAGCTGTTCACACATGAAAAAAGGTGTCACCACTAATGTACATATAGGTTCCTTAATGTGCTGTGCTTTTCCACCCCTGCTGTCTAACATTCTTATTTAATGAAACTAGCTGTATTTTCACTGACCACCTGCCCAGGGTGTACTCCGCCTCTCACCTAGTGTCAGCTGAGATGGGCTCCAGCTCCCTGAGACCCTCCACAGGATACTGCAGGTATTGCTAATGGATGAATATGCAGTACTTTATTTTCAGTAACCCACACTGGGATCACAAGAAAACCTTTAAAAAACACAAACAACTTAACCAAACATTTATCACTAATATCATTCATTCAAGGTGTTGCTACCCTCATGACACTAGACTATTCTCTCTCAGCAAAACACATGCAACCTGCCTTGGCATGCACAGTGTACCTTGGCATCAAACTGTTCAGTGGTCACACGTGCCCTAAGAATCAGGTCACTGCATTTCTTGGAAGAGACTCCTCCCTTTAGGAAATAATTGCTTCCTCATAAAGTAAAGGTGATTACATGTAACAACTTTGTATTGATTTGCAGATTCTCTTCACTCAAAGGGGACAAATTGTCAACCAGACTTCAGAAATGAAGTGTTAAGTTTAACACAAAGTTTTGTTACATGGTTCATCTGCACAACTTTATAGATCAGTGGGTGGTTAAGCGCGAATTGCAGGCATTATGTTTGAAACGAGTCTGAGCAAGGGCTCACCTGGACAGGTCACCAGTCTATCACAAGGCTACACTTAGAGACAGACAACCAAGCACACTCACATTCACACCTACAGACAATTTAGAATCACCAGTTAACCTCAACATGTTTTTGGACTGTGTGGGAGGAAGCCAGAGAACCCAGAGAGAACGCATGCTGCACGGAGAGAACATGCAAACTCCACACAGAAAGATCCCAAGCGTCCAAACTGGGATGTGAACTGGCGACCTTCTAGCTGCGAGGCAACGGTGCTAACCACCGAGACACCATGCAGCCCCTTTGAGATCATGATGACTCTATTTTTATTACTGCTAAATTAAATGTTTATAGTGTGGTCAAGCTCCAAGTTTTCTGAAATGAAAGCCAGATTTCATATAATAAGAAAGATACACCCAGATGTTCCAGTCATCATTGCAATAAAAGTGTAATAATTGTTAAGAAAATTGTACTTTGAGCATCGTGATGACTATAAAAACTAGTGATCATGGACACATACTGTGTAGATGTGAAGTAAAGTGCTGAGCAAGAACTTGCATCAAGACTCATCACAACCATTGAAAAGGTAGGTAGGAAATGGATCTTATTTTAAGAAAAACAAATGATGGGGGTACATTTGTAATTAAGCCCTACTTAGTCTTAAGACACCGTTTTGTGGATGAATGTTCTTATTTACAGCTGTGTATTCAGAATTATGAAAATCATCTATTGTCTTAATAATGTGAAGCTACAAAGAACATTATTTAACAGAGGGAGAATGATACCCTTGCAACTATTTAGATTTTACTACGTAAGTGTGTCGGGTTTGAATTGTTTTCTTTTTGTATTAGATAATAGTCTATACTGACTGGTACAAAAATGCCTATTTATGTTGCAAGCCTTAGACCCAAACGCAGCACTAAGAACACCTAGGAGGAAGTTTTAGAGTTCATTAATTGCCAGTCTCTGCTGGTGATGGAGGTGTGAGGGAGAGAATTTCCCAGGAGAAAATCAAGGAATGTCTTTGGGTTGGTTGGCAGAGGCAGAAGAGGTGGCTGGACTGACCATGTAGAGGCTAGAGAAACTGAGCACAGAGGTCTGGAGCTGTAGATGGATATCTGGCAGAATGACCGAAGCAGAGAAGCTTGAGACTTGAACCTCAAGCACAAGGAGTAGTAGGGTCACTAAAACCACAAGAGTAACTCCAGAAGCACACAACAGGAGTGGAGGTTGGCTGAGACAATATTACAACATGTATAGAGAACTGATCTGGCAGCGGCTGGAGAGTTGAGATGGAGTTTTATTGATTAAAATACTGAAAACGGGCAAGAAGCACTAAAGAAAGGAGTGAGTGAGAATTTGATCTTTACATTTATTCATATATTTTTACAGACATGCTGCAGCAAATTCTCTCGTGTTTGGTGATTTTGCAATTAGTGGCACATGCATCTTTTGCAGCTGCTCCTTTACAAATAGGTAAAATACAACACACAAGACCTTTCCTATATTTGCTCATTCACTGTATCTTTCCAACTTATATGTATGTTTCTTATTTTATGAAATTTGGCTTTCATTTCAGAAAACTTGGAGCTCAACCATACAAACACTATCAGGAATGGTAATGTAGCCAAGCTGCTCACCAGGACAAACTTTGCACGTTTGGAGAAACTGAGGAACAGAACCAGATATGTTGCAAGTAGCTGTAAAGACATCAGAGACAGATATCATGAACATGAAGGTTAGCAGACATAGTCAGTTGGAGATGTTTCTCTATGCAATACTTTGAAATGAAACAAATAAAAATCTTTAATTAATTCATTGTGTTTTAGTCTCTTGAAACAAGATTTGAACAAATATTTTGGCGTGCAACTCAAGCTGATGACCTGAGAATCAAAACAATGGTGGCCATTGTTCTCTCAACAACATTTACTATACTGTTTCCAGATGGGTTGTACTACCTGACAACAGCCAATGGCATGGTCTATCAGACTTTCTGTGACATGACCACTGATGGAGGTGGCTGGACGCTGGTGGCGAGTGTCCATGAGAACAGCTTTCTTGGAAGATGCACAGTGGGTGACCGCTGGTCCAGTCAACAGGGCAACAACCCTAACCTGCCAGATGGAGATGGGAACTGGTCCAACAGAAACACCTTTGGAACACCAGAGGGTGCCACTTCTGATGATTATAAGGTATATGGGAAGTTTGGGACCTATGATAGTATCTTTACAGTAACTGATCAACTGAGTGTTACCATTATTGTTTTATGACAATAGTGTGTGCGTGCTTTCACAGAATCCAGGTTACTATGATATATCAGCACAAGATATGTCTGTGTGGCATGTTCCTAACAACTTTCCACTGGAGCACTGGAACCTGGCGGCCATCCTCCGTTACCACACTGAGAACCGCTTCCTCTCCCTGTATGGAGGGAACCTCATTCAGCTCTTCAAGGTAATTTACTTGTTATTATAATTACCTATCAATGGACACTATGGAGTGATCATGCCCGTGTATTCGTTTTTGTGAGTGTGGGTTTTTTTTTTGTTTTTTTTGTCAGTTGACAGTCTAGAGCTTTACAGGAGAGGAGTTTGAACCTCAATATATGACCTCGGTATGGTCCCTTCTTGGAATGATTAGATTTTGGTGTCAATACATGCATTGGTGACTGCTACAGAGGTCAAAGGTCGCATTTCCCAAAAAAGCTCTGTATGACTGAAAATGCACAAAAAGACATAAGTTTAGTATACTAACTTCGGAAGACATTCAAGGCCTATAAACTGATAATGTAACATATGACTTTGAGACGAAGGTCAAGGTCAGGCTGAAGGTCTTAAATCATCACAAATTTTAAATCCATTATAACTTGGAGGAGGTGTAAGATAACACATAGTTTCTTATTACAGTCAGATAGGAACCCATATTGGTGATGCGACATTTGATCTTTGGCCTATTCTGTGGATGTGATGATCAGTGGATTGGTTATGTGTACCCCAAATAAATTTTTAAAAAATGTGTAGTACAAACACATCAACAGTAATTATGCAAAATGTGGTTTTGCCAATTGCAGTGCCCCTTGTGGTTTTATGCTACAGAATATTTCGTGCCTCTGTGATCCAGAGTCAATGTCAACATTTGATGTTAATAGATCAAAGCGTCATGGAGACATGAACCGGCTTCTTGGGTTGTAACAAATGTAATGAATGCTTTTGAAAGTCAAAAATCTATATGACAACAATTGGAGGGTTGGTCGGAATATTATAGGTGCCAATATTAGTGATGAAAAACAATTTATTCCCTGTTATTAAACTTTTTCACAGAATCCAATATAGTGGAAAATCCAACATGGTGGCAATCAGCATCATAATGTGCATTGAACTTAGCTTGATGGGGAGCTCCAGTGATACATTATGTTTGAAAATGGGGCATATGGTTTAAACGTGACTTGCATAAATGCACCTCCCATTTTAACCCATTGGTAGTAGTAGTACTCGAAATACAGACATGAAACTTGGTGGAAGATTTGGTGCACAGTCCTCAGTAAATGTGCCCCTGTCATATGGTGTCAGGGGCTGCCATATGTTCCAGTGGCAGAATTGAAAGAAAAGAAAAGGTAGAAACACAGCTTGGCTGCTTAGCCCCAAGTGAACTATGTGTGGTTGT